CTCTTCACACGTAGACTTCATCGTTTGCTTCACATGGGTGTCGGTCAGTACGTTGAGGCGCTGCGAGGAGATTGGCCCGTTCCGCTGGGAACAAACTGCCGCGCGCAATCTCTCTTGAGACGCCGCACCTCCGCAACGTGGGTCTCCTGACCGACACCCGTCTTGTCTCATTTATTTGCCCAAGTCCTTGAAAATCAGCCAAAATTCAGGGATAAGCGACATTTTGAAGGAACCCTTTCTTGCAGACAGCTCGACTCCTGCCTGCTTCTCGTCTCGAGATGGGAGCACTCTGCGGTTTTCACAATGCAGCCGTTGATGTGACAAGTCAGGACGGTGAAGTTTATACCGTGGAAGCGCATCCTTGGATAACAAACGAAGAACTAGTGAATAGGGTTCTGAGGCACAGGTACAACTTAGCCCTTAAACTTGATGTAAATTGTACATTTTTCCGTGCTTCAGAGGAATCGGAAATCCCAGCGGTTGGAGTGTGGAGGTAGAGACAGACAAAGTGCTCTACTGCCCTAGCGGCTCTCATTTCCTTCATGACGTCATTTCTGAAATCGAACACGGCAAGGAGGAGAACAAGAGGTAATAGCAATTCCAGCCATCGTCGATGTAAAGGCACAGTTCGCCGTGGTCGTATGGGTGGGGCCAAACTTCACAAGGTCTTCCTCCTTTCCATCCACCACCCTTTAGAGGACGAGAAAGAGAAGGGACACGCTAGCGAATAAAGCACAATGGTTGACTGCCTCCGCCCACACCATCAGCGTACATTATGCTTTTGAGACACGTTTTGCTATGCTTGATGTTGTATCTTCTCTGTAAACAACAATAAATAGTATTTTCGCATGGGATTCCGAAAACGGCCGGTTTAGGCGACTCCAGACCAAAGCGCGTTTTCCGATTTCCGATTGCCGTTGTACGTGGTTTACACCGCGTTTCTGTTTTCCTAACAGTCTCCCCACACAGTCGCCAACTAATAGCAGAAATAGTGTTGAACTCCTTATAAATAGTGGGCACGATTGCTGAAGGCAGGCGATTGGTGCCAGTCATTAGTGGGAGGGGTTCGAGAATACGTTTGGCCACACCCCACTCAGCCCTTCCACCAATGAAGTTGGCGACCTGCCCGCCCCCAGCAATTGTGCCCACTAGTTTTAAAGAAACGCTACTCACCCTCCACAGTGACCGTATGGGAGGAGTCAGACCTGCGGCCTTACTTTCTTTGTTGTCCTCC